ATGTGTGTAGACCCTAAATGATCACCTTAAATTTAGCATAGATATCTAAAAAAGTCAAGTCTCACACTTATGTGATAATTTTTCTAAAAATCTGTACCAAATTTAATGGTGATCCTTTAGAGTTCTACACACATGGGTGTAAGAGGGTCTCATAGGATCATTACTCTAATAATAATAATAATAATAATAATAGGGCAAGCTTTCTATGCTTCCCTTACAGCATAGAAATTATTTTTTCTCCCTTATCCAACCATCTATTCTGAATGGACCCAATCACAATGTCACGTCTCTACACTATTTTAGTTTTAATTTTTTTTTCTATAGACTATTTTGACACCAAATTTTGGGTGTCCATTCCTCTATTAAACTCGCACTAGCAAATAATATAAAAAAAATATTTTCAATAAAATAAAATGATCAAAATACCTTTGAAAATATAGAGGGGTATTTTGATCATTATATTTTATCAAAAATTTATTTTTAATATTTTTTTATAGGTGTGACCCAATGAGAAGATGGCACGTATCAAATTTCATATTCATAAAATTTATATAAAAAAAAACTAAAAATATATATATTTTGAGACGTCAGATCTAAGATTAAACGGTGAGTGGCTCTCTTGATCAAAATTGGACAGCTAGATGGTAGGGGGAGGAAAAAAATTCCATGTTGTAGGGGAAGTATAGAAATCTTCCCATAATAATAAAAATAGTAATGATAATAATATATGAGTAATGATCCTATGAGACCCTCTCACACCCATATGTAGGATCTCAAAAGATTACCATTAAATTTAGCGCAGATCTATAGAAAAGTCAAGTCCCACACCCATGTGATAACTTTTTTAGAGGTATGTGCCAAACTTAATAGTGATCCTTTGGGATCTTACACACATGGGTGTAAGAGGGTCTCATAGGATTAATACTCAATATAAAAATAATACAAAATACTTATATAAAAATAATAATTTTGAATGAGAGTTCATTGTGTTATTAATACACCATAAGGACTATTCTCTTTATCTTTTTTGATATGTTTGGAAAGAGGCCTTATTATTTTGAAGGATGATGGAGAATGTTAGCCTTTTGCTATATAAAATGTTTCAAAATAATTTTTTTATTTTTAAAATTTGGTGCTAGTATATTTTTATAGTATGGACCTATGTGATGTTTTACCACCTGCAACCCAACAACCCCAGTTTACGTAGATTGAGACACCTTTATAAAAGGTTTTAAAATTGTAAAAGGTCTATAATCTTTGTCCCCCATATAATGGCCTGTTTAATAACCAGAAACAAGTTCATGAACCGTAACTTGGAAATTCTGTTATAAATTAGAAGTTACTTAAGAAGTTTATAGTTTCTATGTTTGATAATCTCTCAGGGAAGTTAAGAAGTTCATAGTTTATGTGTTTGATAACTCTTGGGATATATAGTAAATATCTTATATTTATATTTACATTGATAATAATTTAAATATAAATATATAATATTTATGACATACTATAA